TGAGTATTTTAAAATAATACTCAGTGTATACTCAACAAAAATGCAACAAATCCAGTTGGTTAGCTCCCAATAATCACAACCCACACTACATTCTATTATAGAAGAGGTAAACTGTAGTGCCTTATGTTTTCTTTTCTTTATAAGGCCCGAAGCCTTATATAGAAAAAAAAAAACATATAAACATCAATAAAAGCGGTCAAAACAATAATAAAGGGCCATCAGTAGAAGACTAAATAAAATGGACACCCCCTTTAACCACCTCAACCACTATCATCAAGCAAGGCAAACAATATAGATGCATGTTCAACCATAAAGACAACAATAAAAGTTGTCAAACTAGTAAACACCATACATTACACCAAAAATTATTCAGGGTTTCTCCAAAGTAAATACTCACCAAATAAGCATCGATATGCAGTAAACATGCACTATATACACATCACATATACATCAAATATGTGTCACATACACAAAAAGTATATGAAGAGCACAAAAAAAAAGCACAATAAACACACTTAAAATGCTTAGTAAATACATAAATATTATTTCTATAGCAGGGAGAGATTGCATAGCTACAATAAAATATCTATAGAGTAGTTTGAGATTTTAATCATTCAAACAAAATTATTATTTTATCAAATAATTGTATAAAATGAATTATTTAACATTCAATCATTACAAATAAATTTAATTACAATAAATATTTTACTTTAATAATAAATCATCACAAATAAATTTATTTTGTAGATTTCTCTTAATTAATAATATCCATCATCATCCTCATGTACTTAGTTGATAGTTGACTTGAGGGTACGCTAGTTATAAATTCCTTGGTGAAGCATTCAAGCATGCTTGTGAAATTATGCTACTTTGAAGGTGAAAACATTTGTGTTGAGTTTTCCTTTATGGATGGTTTCTCTGTTAAAAAAATTAATCTCAAGAAAAGTTAGTTATAATATATCATAATATATAATGAAAAGAAATTAGTCAGAAAATTAAATCATATTTTTTTTGCTTCTTCATTTCCTAGTGGCTTTTTCAGTATTGCATTCGATATACCTTTATGTCTATGCTTTAGAGGATCTTTCACTTTTGTATTTCCACCCTGTGTAAACTTATGCTTGTTTATCTTCCCATGAAGATTCAAATCGATATTTTCAGACATATAATTCATCAGAACTAACATGTATTGTTCAGCCTCCTCCTTCAACTATGCTTATGTGCTAATTTGATATGTATATCTATTGATATGATTTATGAATATGAATTCACTACTAGCTTCAGAATTATTCTAAGAAGATCCTTTCAATATGCTACTTGAATATATATCTTTTCAAGCTCTTACTGACCATCGTAGTAGTAGGTATTTCCTAGGGATTTTAACAATATCCATTTATCTTTAAAATCTCATGTAATGAGAACACAACAAACCCATCACCTCAAACTTCTTGCAGGTGTATTGAATGCTTCTATCTTGTGTATCAAAATCAACAACCCAAGGATTAGAAAGATCCTTATTCTCTATGCAACAGACAAAAAACTTTGAAGAATCATAGGACACAAACTCTATACTTATTCCACCAACATCTTGTAAAAATTCTTCTTCAAAAAATGAATATAATTTTCATGAATAAAATTGAGCAGCTTACTTTAATATTGGGCTGCTTTTTCTTACATGTTCTATTTCAGATTGGTTGTATTTATAATCCTTATCCTATTCATTTCGGCGTCAATTCCTCATCACCTTCTCTAAACCAAGAAAATAATCAATTATAGAGCTTGTGGGCTTAAAAATGCCATGACACACAATATTAATAAACTCGCTGCACTGTATGGATAGAATGCTCATGTTAAAATAATTCTTATTGAATGCTATTGACCACTTATTCCTTATCATATAAAGAATCTCCAACCAATCATGATTGTAGAGGATCGATTCTGTGATCATTTAAGTTCATGTTTTCTCAAACTCCTCCTTAGAGTCACATTTATTCAAACACTAATGGAAGAGGTCTCTGACTTGTTGTTGCTCTTGAATCACAACACTTTTGATGAAAAATTTTTACTGATATGGCATTGTCACATTCTATGATGAGTGTGAGGTAATATAACTTATATGGTCCTAGTCATTACCCGATCTTAATCCATAAATATTATTTTTGGATGTTTATAACATATTATTCACATAAAAGTTATAAACAATAATATAAATGATTAAATCGTCTCTTCTGACAAGAAGGCCACCCACAGAAAAATGTTTTGCGAAAGATTATTGATCTCGATAAATGGTGTGCATACCAAATTATATTTATTAAGCCTATAACTAGTACAAAAAATTATATATCCAAAGTAGTCATATTCAATCTTACCCATCCCATCAACCAAAAAAAATTTAACAATATATTAAATTCATCAATTTGAACATCCCAAACAAACATATTGTCATCAACTTGATGATCTTTAAATAACTGAATCAAAATATTAGTGTCAACAAATTTAATCTTTTATGTTCTCTCTTTTTGAATTAAGTTATATGCATCCCTCTTAGAGAAACCAATATTCTAGACAACTCCAACTTTATCAAAAAAGTAGGAAAATGAATTAATAGTTCTTATCTCAACTTTTGTTATTGATTTAAGAACTAAAATTTTATCTTCACATGCATTCCTATAAATTTTAAGAAGATGTCAGTCTTTAGGCCTAGAAAATCATGATTGTGACTTTCAATAAATCTTTTCACCTTCTAATATCTAGCTTCATCCAATGTAAAGCTAATCATAGTTAGACAACCAGTTATAGTGTCTGATTTTTGATATTTTATGTAGAAATTAAAATTAGGCATCTCCTTGAAACGAGCATTTGAACAAATAAAATCCTTACATTTTATTTTTTTGGAATTTATCTAGTAAATGTAATGATACTTGAAAACACTAAAACCATTATTATATAAAAAATTACAGTAAGCTTCATATGCATTTTTCTCATTTTCAAACACTTTGTGATAAATATGTAGTAAATACACAATAAATACGTAGTAAATATGCAATAAATATGAAATAAATATGTAGTAAATATGTAATAAATGCATAATAAATACGTAGTAAATACATAGTAATTTTGCAGTAAATATGCAATAAATATGCAGTAAAACTCAATAAAAATGTAGAAAAACTTATTAAATAAATAATAAATACACAGTAAATACTTAGAAAAAATGCAGTAAAAAGCTATAAATACATAATAAACAAGTAGTAAAAATGTAATAAATATGCACAAAATACATCTAAAACCCATAAATATGCAACAAATATGTATTCAATATGTAGCATTTGAACTTTAAAAAATATGCATTAATTTTAGTGTTCGCAAATGTGTGTTAATTTCAAAAATATAGATAAATGTGGAGTAATATACATTAATTTTTAAAATGTGTATAATGATAACATGCTGTAAAGAAAACTTGGAAAGGAGTTGAGCTTTACATATAAGTTGAAACCTACATCTCCTAAACCTAGCTTTCCCTCTGCCTGCACTTCTTTTAATGTTAACTACTCTGCCTTGATGTCTACATACCAGTTTCTGCCTCTACGTTCTATGAGAATATCATCTGCTCGTAAAAAGAATCATCTTTCTCCAAATCAGTTTTCATCTTCATCGATATTTTTTCTGTTCATTCTTTTTTCAGCTTGTACGAAAATTTTCTTAAGCTAAAGAAAATCTTTATAGATTGTAGAACTTTGCGGTTGAAATCCTGAAAAAAGAAGCAACAACCCTAAATTGAACTATATGGCGATGGACTTTTTTTAGGCCGGATTCGTGTTGCACCCCCTTTAAAAAAAAAAAAAAAAATTTTTCCCCCCTTTAAAAAAAAAAAAAAACAAACTTTTTTGGGCCAAATTGGATTGCAAGACAAAAAAAAAATAAAACTAAATGTAGATGAATATACAAGTCCACAATATATACGTAAAGATTTTATTGGAGTATGGAAGTAGAGCTTCGTCCAGACTCCGCATAGAATAATTTGTCCTTACAACGGGGGCCGACAGCTCGAGTTCGATACGGGAAGGCATAGAGGATACCAACAGTGTATGAAAGAGAAAAGGAAGTCGCAACGGGAGCTTGCTATAAGAAAGCATTAGCGAGACCGGCAGCGTGTGAGGGAGAAGAGGAGTTTGTGACGAGAGGTTAAAAGATTTAACTTAAATATGCTGAATAGCTGTGACCTAACTACCAAGTATTTTGCTTCAAAATCTCGCACCTGAAGGGGCTGTTTGGTAGCACTCAGGATTTCATTTAGGTAGGATTTTGTAAATCATCTAATCCTGAAAATCGTTTGATAACATTTATGATAAATCCTGTTAAATCCTATGTAACTGTTTGATAATTCAATTCATGATTTAAAGCTTTTAAGAGATTTGACATGTATTTCTTGGATAATTAAAATACAACAATAGAAGTTCAAATAAATAATAACAAAGTTTCGATAAAAAAACAACAATAATATAGACTTAAGATTAGTCTACTCATTTTAAAAAAATTTTCTATTAAATTAATATTAATAGTTTTTATAATTATCTAAATTTGTAAGAAAGTAATTTTCGAAATAGTTGTAAAACCTCAGGTCCCCAAAATAAACTATTTAAATCATACAGAATCTAATTAACAAATGAATTATTTATTAATTAGTATTTTATTAAGTTAATTAATTGATCATTTCTATTTAGATAAATTTAATAAAAATAGTATCAATAATAGCTAATTAAACTTTTTATCAAATTAAAATAAAATTACAATTAGCATAATCTAATATCTTTATTATTATTAATTATTAATTTTTAATTAGTAAATTAATTAAATATAACAATTTTAAATAAATAAATTATAAATAATATTAAATTACATAAATTTATGTCTAATTAATTAATACATTTTAATTATTAAAATTAATTTACCGATTTTAAATAATTCTTCTACGACTTCTTTCCTTAGATAGCCTAGACCCCACCGTTTGTTTTCCTTGTATTTCTTCGATTGCTCTTCTTCTTGAACGGCTCCTTCGGCTGTTCGACTTCGCTCCTTGAAGACGTTCCCTTCCTGTTGGGGATCGGAAGATCGGAAGTTACGAAATTTTGATCGGAAGCAACGACGGGAGCTCGCTCGCTGTGAAGGTATCTTCTCCCTTTCGCGGGCTTCTTCGGCCACGAAAAGGGATAATTTTCCGTCTATGTCGGCTTTCATTTACCGTGAGATTTGGTTTTGCATTTTAGGCCGTTTGGCTTGAGTTCACTCAAATCCCGCATAAATCCTGCTACCAAACAGCCATGCTTCTGCCAACTGCCCTGCCAGTGGAAGACATGGTGGAAGTGGGAAGGGGAGAAGAAGCGATAGAAGAGGAAGTGGAACTGGGTCGTGAGGGAGGACTTGAGGACGCGGAAGAAACCGATGGAGAGGTAGAGGATGACGAAGTTGAAGAAGATTACACTCTGCAATTCGAGGGAGATCCACTCGGCTTTGTCCAGGAAGGAGACCATGAGGGCACCGAGCTCTACCAACATTTCGAGCGGCTCGAGTACGAAGCCCTAGCCGAAAGGAAGCGCAAGGCCTTGCAACAGTGTTCCCGGTACAACCTGCCTCTACATTCTAGAATAATTGCTAATTAATTTATTCGGTTCAAATGTTGATAATCGCGTGCGTTCTTGCAGCAACGGGCAAGCGAAAAAACCTAAGAAAGATGAGTTGCTGGGTGTTTCCATGGAAGAAATTGAGGAGATGATGAACTTTGGATTTCGTAGAAGAGCAAGTTCCGTATGTTATATTTGCATTTCAACGTTATTTAACCTTCTTTATAAATGTGCTTTATTTTGTAATGCAGGAATGAATGATGATTTTGATTAAGTTATTACTTCATATATTTTTTCTTTCTGGTGCCATTTGCTGATCATATTTTTTTCTAAATGTCGATGAAACTGATATTGTTTTATGAATGCTTATGGTATCACGAATTAAATTAAATGGGTTACTGCAGTCGTAAAACTTCATAGATTAAAGTCATGATGCAGATCTGACATAATGTTGATTTAGAGCGTTATGATGTTAGAAGATGACTAAATATGATTGTTTTTCAAAAGTTATGACATTAGGATCTCCAACGAAGGTAACCTATAAATTGAAAGATGCTCAAACGGCCTGTTATGTTAATCAAAAGTGGAGGTAAGAAGTGGGAGCATATGAGTGTTTGGCTGGCAACCTAAGTTAGAAAGAACTTGAAATTGAGGATGTTGTGATCAGTAAATTGTGAACCCTATACTCCAAACTATTTTAGTTTGAATTTGTTTGGAAGTGGATTCTAGGAACTCTCTCACCCATGCTATGCTATTTGCATTGAAAATATGTTGAAATAAAATTTAACATAACGTATTGCATTGAAAGTATGTAGAAATAAAATATAACATAATGTATTGCAATTGTATTAAAGGATAATGTATTAATTATTATAATATGTATACTATTTAGGTCTATATATAGTTCAACATTATACATTGTTATTCTATGTCTTGCATGCATATGCATTTAATGCAATAAACATTAGTGGTGGATTCTAACGTTTTAATCTTCAAAATTGAGGTTTAGTAGTTTTCAAAATTATTAGATATTGTGTATAATTATTGGTTGTATTGTGCATAGAACATAACATATTATTAGTGATAAAATAGTGTAATATAAGCTATTATAGTATTATCTATTTGTATATATTTACCTGTGCATCCATTTCCTTTAGATAGTATAATTCCTAGATTTAATTATGTTGGGGTTTGAGTTTGTTTTAAAGTGGGTACATTCACCTAGAGTTCTAATATACTTTTAGTTAAGGCCATTTTGTTTCACTTTAAGTTTCTGGAAGTATTGGATTTCACTTATAGAAGTGATTTCGAGTGTTTGCTTGGTTGAATGTATATGAGTTTATATTATGGCAACTCACCTTCAAAAAGATGGAAAGTGTGTTCCTATCTTGAGAGCTTTGAAGTTCTTTCAATTTTACTTTTTTCTTCTAATAACGGTAGAATTATATCAAGTTAATATCACGATGGGTTGAAATATTGTTATAATGAGAATAATAATTAGAATAAGAATACTGATAACAATAATGATAATGATAAGAAATCAATGTGAGGATGGATAAAGATAAAACTCACTGCAACACAAACAAACACTGAAACTGAGTTCATAGTAAGTGAGCTATGTAACACAAACAACTACCATTACAACTCATTTTAAAGTTAAATGTGACTCACTTTCAACGCTGAGATCCAAACACTTTTAAATACTTGCAACAAAATAAATTGGCTCGTACTCAACACCCAAACAACTGAAGTTAAAGTGTTTCATCGACAAAAACCAAAATGCCACCTTTTGAATCATCAGTCTCCAATTCGCAGGACTGGAAGTTCCTTTCATGATACTTATAGGCGACCGAATATGCCTGTGATAGGATGAGAGAAACAGGAGTCCTTGATAGTCATTCTATTTTTTATTTTCCTTTTATTTGTCCTGCAACATGATTCTAAGCTGCACTTCATTTTCCGAGAAATGAAAATATAGTTTTATTTTCTATGCTGATTCAAAATGTTGAGGTATCTGCTTCCAATTTTAGATTTTACTTGATATACGTCTTTTAATAGGTACTTTCATGACATTGAAACTATGCCTTTTTTATTTGTAATTATTGAAATTGCTGGACTAACTACTAATTATGCTCTGCTATTTATATTACTATGTTTATTCATCTCTGGTATCAACAGTATCTGTCTTTGTTGTGGGTTAGGCCAAGAAAAGAGGACGGAAGAAAGGATCCCGAAATAAACTCAGTCCGGAAGTGAACATTAAAATTGGTGATGCTACGCTTCACTATGCATCTGGAAATTACAGTGAGGTGAGGCCTTTTTATATCATCTGTTAACTATTTTACTGGAAATTTAGCATGCTTCTAGAATTATAGAGACAATTTTTGATACAATGCTAAGTTTCTCATGCTTGGAAGCTGGGAAAAATATACACTATTTCTCCCAAAAAAAAAAAAAAAACTTCTATGTAAGCACATTGCTTTTCTAAACTTTAATTTCTATAAGGTTGCTCTTTGAAGGATATTATTGTCCTTGATTTGAGTCACTAAATCCCTATGCCATTTCTCTTTTATGGTCATTCTTGTCTTTACATTGTTTTATTTGATGTTACGTACTCCAGATCAACTTGCATTTCTCTTATACATGATTAGTTGATTTTTTTAATCCAAAATAGCTAGAAGATATAACTATGGGGTGGGTGGGTAGACTTAATGTGAAAGGATGTCCAAGGAAAAGAGATACACTTAAGGTAACATGACTAAAGGTTCTATAATTTATTTTGAACTATAATGATACAGTATTATCAAATTTGTCTGACCATTCAACAATTTGGTTCAGCCAGACTCAATTTTTCATATGCCAAATTCTAGGAATCAAACTAGATAAAAATAAGCTGATCCAGATCTATTTTCATATATATATAGGCCCATTTTCAGATAAGTCTGAATTTAGTATATTATTTTTATTTTATGAATTAATTTGAAATATACTAAGAATTTTCTTTCCTATAGCGAGTTGCTTCCATTCCATAAATTCAAAACGAAACTATAAAAAGGTTGAACCATCCATAGTCATAGAGACAACTTGTAGCTTTCTTAGGGCAGCATTCTTAATGTTCACCTCTCTTCCACCCTCCATATCTACATGCTACATTTGTCTTTACCCTTCGTCCTATCTTGTTTTACTCTAGGATGGATAATGAAACATGCAAAAATTAAACGCCGATACATTTTTGCAACGAGAAAGAATGAAGATAGATTCTCATACTTGACTTTTTGAAAGTAGCCAAAAATCCCTTAACAAGCCTTTTTTCTTTTCAAAATTCGCTATTTCATCCATCTCTACTAGAACCCTAGCTATTGATGGTGTATGTATAGAGGTGGTGTGTGCATCCAATTTGAGAGGTCAATTAAATAATGAAGCTAGCGAATATAATGTGCTCTAGTTTATAAAATGCTTAGGAATTTTTGGAATTATATCCATGTTGAGGTAATAGGTGATTCTTCTTTGAGGTAAAACATTGTGCCATTTAAAAAGCTTTAACAAGCACACATTGTTATGATAAAATCAACATCACAACATCAACATCAACATCAAGCCTTTATCCCACTACGTGTGGTCGGCTACATGAATCATTTTTCTCCATTGTGTTCTATTAAAAATCAAATTCTCGTTTAAATCTAATAAAGAAAGATGATTCATAATATTTTCTAACCAAGTCTTTTTAGGTATGCCTCTACCTTTCTTAACATAAGTCAAAATATAAAAACTTGAGCATTGTAATCCCTTAATTTCAACATATTAAGGATGTCTAGAATCCAAAAAAATTATGTTTCAGGAATCAAAGTAACCAAATCCTTCAATGGGTTGTTTGTTTGCAAGTATTTAGTATTCATGTTTATTCCTACTGTAATGCACATTAAATACATTGCATTTGGATTTCTTAAGATTTTTTGTTTTGTTGTAAAATAAATCCATGAAATGAAAATTTTGTGTTTGGGTTTTACTTATAAATGAAATACACTACACTTTATCTCTGTTTAAGGTATAATAGGGATGGTGACCAAGGATGACGTAGACTGTGACAACAACATGATGTGATGTATTGGGAAAAGTGGTATGAGATCTTAAATAGTGATCGAGATCAAGTTTTGGGCATCATAATGATACCATGGCACATGGTTTGTTGGATTGGGTTACTAGCACGAGGTTGCCAAATGTGGTTTGACTTTTATAGATTTAGGGAAATGTGGGCCGAAAAAGCATTGGCTTGGGGTTGCCAGGTCAAGGTTGTTGATGTGTGATTGATATTTTTTGTGCAGGATTGGGTTCATTAGTGGGGGTTTAGGGTCATGGATTCTGGGAAAATGCAGGCTGCTGGATCACTAGTTGGTCTTGGTTGTGGATTCAAGGATGATGTTGTTGTGAGTCAAAGCATTTGAAGTTCACTTGGTTTGAGTGGATTCAAAGTTCCTAAAAATTCCTCAGAGGAGTTTATAATTTCCTACAAAAATACTTTACATTTATTTTACTTCAATGCAAGTGCCCAAAAAATTCAAAACCTATATTCCTTTTACTTTATACATACAATACACCAAACCATCCATCTCTTAAATAACTTTTTGATTACCTCCATAAAAGGCCATCCATTCGACTAGTTACTAATGATACAAAATGCAATTGATTGATATAGAGAAAAAACTACAGTTTTTGAAGTTGTGGCGGTAAGAAGAATTGATATAACCCTAAGTAGGGATTGGTTTTGTGCCCAAAAGTTTATAACTGGTGCGAATGAGAATACAGTGTTGCGAATGGAAATACGCAAGGTTATGAGTTGAGAGTGGGAATACAAAAAGCCACCAGTTGCATGATTCAGAAGCATATGGTTCTGAGTGGAATTCGAAGAGGTGTTAATAAATAGTTACTTCATCAATACATTATCTTATAAATAAAGTTATAATTATTAATTAAGTATGCTTATAATAATTAAAATGAAAGATTAATAATTGATTTGAATAATTAAAATTAATTAAAATGGATGGCCAAGATTTGACGTGGGTGGAAACACAAGCCCCTTTTATAATAGTAGTATAAATATATACAATCATATAATATATTTGATCAACCATATTATGCATGTATGCTAGTTCAACTATATTTGAATGAATGCACAATTTAATTCAACCCCAATCCAACCTACAACTTTGTATAAATCAAATTCATTATATCTCATTCTACTTCATTGTCTACATTCAATTATTCTTCCATTTTATTGTGATTTGGCTCTGATACCAATTTCTTTCACACCCCATTTCAACCCCCTACAGTCAGCCTAGAGTGTAACAGAGAAGAAAAATCTAAATAGGCTCCTTCTCACTGACAACCATTATGAACTATTTCTATCAGAATCATATGAGTAAAAAAAGTAATCTATTTAGACTCTCATAACATATCCAATTTTATACTTAACAACAAAAATCATGTAATATACATCAATTAAACCTCAAATATAATACACATTTCAAAAGAAATACAGAGATTTACTAAAACATTTTAAAATCTATTTGCATATCTTAAAAGTCTCTGTACAGCCTCCACTTGGATCTCTATGTACACTCAAAATGTATTAAAAAAAAAAACAGTCACCCTTTTCCGTCAAGTGTCCTACTGGCTCTTTCCTCTTTTCTGCAGTACAACCACTATTAATGAGTAGGGCTGCATGAAATGTGCAAGTAATATATAAAAAATAATAATAACATTTATTTTGACAATTAATATGAAATATTTTGAAATTACATGCTGATCATAAGAAATACATGACATCACTTTCTATCTTTTTTTACTATTTAGTACCTTTATACAAGTCATATGATGACTATAAACTTTTGCACTATTCTAGCTTTTCAAATCAAGGTTGGGTTCGAATTCTCAACTTTTAGAATTTAGAGAGTGTAAGTTTACCTCATCACGTCGTTCTCCTTTATTTGTGCGGGTCTATCGCCCATTTATGACTTATTTCACTTTTCTACTCTTCCATTTTCATGTCCATTTTCATAATCATACATCACTAATCTAATTGTTACTACTTAGTGATTCAAAAATAAATGTTATCATAGACATAATAAATATGAATTTGCAAATGTATAAAATTTTACTATTTTTATGCATCGTTTGAGTATCTCACATCGCTCGGAATTTATTCTTCTTGAACACCTTGTCTTCTTTGCCTTATATAAACAACCTAAAGGATAAGGAAATTCATATAGAAATTCTTATCTTTAAATAAAACAAGTTATGATACACTCAAATAAATCTTTACCTCTACTAAATTTGTCCTCATTCATAAATTTTCTCACCTCTACTTTCCTTTTCCTCCCTTCTTGCCTATTGGATTTAACAATCAATATAAATAAAATAACAACACCCAAACACTTATTGCAGAAAGCGTGAATTCTAGCAAACCTTCATTAAGGACACTCATAATTCTACTTATAGCCCTTTCCTTTACTTCTATCTTACCTTACTATTTTTTGTCATATTATTCGTCTCTTTTTGTCACGGATTAGCAAATACTACAACAACTCTTACTCCATTTCAACCCACAGCAGCAGCCATATAACCTCTAATTTGATTCATATACATGAATAAAATAAAAAATGCATTCCTTTCCTAACTGTTTTCATTATATACAACAACTACAACAGACAACAATCTTAGTATTCTCTATAGTTTACCTTCATACACGCTGAATTCTCCTCTACATTAGCTGATAGCATCAGCCCTGAATTTCCCTTCCAGCTCCTCACGACTAACTTTAGCACCAAGATTTTTTTTTTCTATCGGGTAGGTAGAATAAAAATGGGATGCAAAGGCTTAAGGCTAGTGCTTAATATATGCACTAACCTCCACAAAAATTAAATATATCTATACCTAAATCCATTAACACCTATTAGTTGTTCCCAACCGTTGATTTTAGCTATCCAGATATCAACCCCTTACATACACATATTAGTGGAAAACAAAATTTTGCATTTAAATAAATATTTATATGCTACAGGACTTTGATTAACTTTTAATCAATTATTATGTAAATTAAATCCTTATGATTTAATACTTTACTACATCAAGCCTTCGTCCCACAATGTGGAGTCGGCTACATGAATCATTTTTTTCCATGTGTTATGTTAAAAGTCAAATTTTCATTTAAATCTAATAAAACAAGATCATTTCTAATATTTTCTAACCAACCTCTACCTTTCTTAACAAAAGTTAAATATGATACCTCTACTTTCTTAACCGGATTATCAAAAGGCCGCCGTTTTATATGACCAAACCATCTAAGGCGACTCTCTCTAATCTTATCTTCCACTGACGCCACTCCAACCTTTTCACGTATATGCTCATTTCATATCTAATCTTAATGACCAACATTCGACACCATAAAGCATTGCAGGTCTCATCACCATTTCATAGAATTTTCCCATAAATTTGAGCGGGACTTTTCTATCACACAACAAGCCCTATGCATTCCTCCACTTCAACCATCCAACTTGAATTCTGCTAATAATATCCCCATCTATTTCACTCTCTCTCTGGACAATAAATCCAAGATATCTAAAACGCATACTCTTATTAATGACTTGCTCGCCCAAAGTCACAATCTCTTCATTAGGTCTATTACTATTAAAATTGCATATATTCATTTTTAGATCTACTAAGGCGAAAACCTTTAGACTCTATGGTTGATCTTTATAATTCAAGTTTACCTTCAACTCCCTCTTTAGTCTAATCAACAAGAAGAATATCATCAGCAAAAAGTATAAACCAAGGTACATCCTCTTGCAAATGTCTAGTGAGAACATCCATGGCTAAAGCAAAAAGATATGGGCTTAAGGCTAATCCTTGATGTAATCCAACCGAAATTGGAAAATACTTGGTCAACCACCTTGTTTGAACACAAGTAATAGCTCATGTATACATATCTTTAATGATTTAAATATAAGCATTATTAACTCCTTTCTTTGCAAGAACTCTCCATAGCACTTCTCTTGGAACTTTATCATATGCTTTCTCTAAATCAATAAAATATCATGTAGATCTTCTTTATTCTCTCTATATTTCTCCAACAAACCTTTCAATAAATATATGACTTCCATAATAGACCTACCCGACATGAATCCAAATTAATTTTGAGAAACATTAGTATCACGCCGCAACCTATGCTCCATAACTCGCTCCCATAGTTTGATAGTATGACACATTAACTTAATTCCTCTATAATATTCACAATCTTGTGCATCACCTTTATTCTTAAATATAGGAATTAACACACTCATTCTCCACTCATCAGACATCTTTTTAGTTTTCAAAATAGTATTAAAAAGATTAGTAAGCCAAAAAATTCCTTTATCTTCTAAGCATTTTCACACTTATGTTAGAATATCATCAGGTCCAACAGCTTTTCCACAGTTTATTTTCTTAAAAGCCTCTCTAACTTCCATTTTACTAATACGCCAATAAAAATAGAAATCTTAATATTCATTTAGGGTGCTAAGATTATTAAAGTCAATCGTATTTTTACATTCTTCATTAAAAAATTTAGCAAAATATCAATGTTTAAAATTATGCAATTGGGTATTGAAGTGTTTTTCGCTTGTGAGGCGAGGCATAAGTCGTAAGGCGTTTTGAGCCGTAAGCCTCAAAATCCAAAAATTGCATAAAGTGAAAATAAATATTAAAAGTGATTTTTTGTATAATATCTAAATAATATGTTAAATAATATCATATTAACTTTTTACTAAATTATGAAGTGACAAATTGACATACATATGAAATTAAAAATTGCATAATATGTAAAGCGACTATTGATAAATTACGTTAAATAGAATTGAAATCCAATATTACAAGAGCAAAATAATATGAAATATAGGAATTACGTGTAAGTATCATATAACATCAAGTTCAACTCCAAATTCCTTCTTTCTTAGTTCCCTACCCATCCACATTTAATTATTAAAAAAAACTAGCATAATTTGTAACAACTCAGAAATCATCTACACTGTTATCACTTGAGTCTTTATTTGAGTTGTTGTTATAACAAATTAATCTCTTCCCTACCTTATTCTGTAGAGTTCAATGCTTCTTAAACTGTTTCTTCTTCATTTATTTCAATCATCTTTCTCTTTTATAAATATTTTTCATTAACATAAATATGCGAATAATACTAAAAAATTTTTAGAAGAGATGGTGGTGGTGTGCGGTTTAAGTGACTCTCGGTGGTGGCTATGACAAAGGCGGTGGGCTGGAGGTCAAGGCGGTTGAGAGGAAGTTGTTGCGGTATGGGGGTGCATGAAGGCATGATTTGTTTGGGGCTTTAGTTTAGGATTTAGGTAAAGTTTTAATAAAAAACTATATAAATCGGGTGAGGCGTACGCCTCATCCTAGTGAGGCGTGGCGCATCTCAAGGTGGGCCTATGCCATGCTGAGGCCTAAGCCTTTTAAAAAAGCTCAAGCGTAAGCCTCGAGGCAGAATTGAAATTAAAATGCACTTGCAGCTGTTGATTTCATTTCCTGATTTAAGGAACATTTTGAATTAATCAAAAAGTTGATTAGGCTTCAATTGGAATTAAACTGATCCTATTGAGCTGAAATTAAGTCCGTTTGGGTTCAATTTAATTTGGTCAAATTAATTTGGCGAAAGTAAACCTAAATCAACGTCAATTCAAGTCAAATTAGACTCGACGAAGCATAATTGAGTCGTTTGATTGAGCCCGCTCGGGCTCAAAGTGCAAGAAATGAGGTCAACATAAATCAATGAAATTTTGCATCTTTTGTTTTGGTTTTCTAGCTTTCTAGTTCTTGAGAATTCAAAAATCCAAAGCTTTTTTAGGATTTGACGTTCATAGCTTGAGAATTCACTGTTTTGTTCTTTCTGTTTCCTGTTAATTTTTGTTATTTTACTGTTCAACAGCCCTTAATTAGAATGTGTGAATGAGTATTCATAACGAATAATTTGGATATGGCTAAGGATAATAAAAATGTTGATAATTTCTTTTGTCTAGCATTTTTTTTATTATATTGTGATAACTCTATCTTTTTATGTTGTTATAATGTTATCCTTCCTTTTTTTTTTGCCGAACTACATTTGTTAGAAGTTATTCAATTTAACCGCCAAGCAATGAATTTTTTCCCCTTCGAAGGGATAGTAGGATTATGCTTGTCTCATACTGTTCCTTGTTCTTGTTGCAGGCGATACCCATATTAGAAGAAGTTGTTCAACTTGCACCTAATTTACCTGATTCATACTTCATACTTGGTCTTATATATGATGCTATGAATGATAGGAAGAAAGCTCTGAATTTCCACATGATTGCTGCACATTTATCACCTAAGGATGTAACTCTTTGGAAGAAGCTTGTTGCTTGGTCTATGTAAGCATATATTCTCATTTTGCGGATTTAAAGCCCATGGTCATGATATTTTGATTTTTTTGTTGAGACTTGCCATAAAAATGACGAAGTCAATGAATTTTTGCATTTCATTTTGTAATGCCAACTTAATACTTGTAACCTCCGGAACTATTTTCTGGTACTGTTCACCTGCAATTCACTTTTGTCAAGGTATTCTTTAATGAATTCCAACATGGTTTTCCTGAAACTGCTTTTAATTCCTCCTTTATTATTTGTTTGTCGAAGTGTTTGAGATCACATGTTAAAGATGCATTATGTAATAAACTGTGTTATCTCTACGTGCATTGATTTTTATGCTTCTTAGTTTGCGTTTTCATTGGCTGAAGCTTAGGAATTCCTGGTATTCCAATGTTTTGGATGCAATGCCTTTGGATGGTTGATTTTCATCTAATGCCTGCAAGTGGGTGAAGAAAATAAGGCAGGATCTCTCCTTGTGAAGTGTGTCCATGCAAAACCTTCCGAGGTTGTATTGACTTTCTTCAATGACAATCTATTCATAAGGAAATGCTATGTAGCCAGTTTCCATAGTGCTTGATGCAAGAGCATAGGTACTTATATTCTCAAATGAATGTGATGGGATTATGCTTTTAGCATCAAATGTTAAGCTGGCTTGCATGAGTCCCTTACATTTCCTTGGTATAATTAAATAATTGAAAATACAATTGCTAACTAAAAAATTTGAGTTATTCTCAAGAAGCTCCTGATGAATTTTATTTAATTGAATCTTTCATATGCCTAATTACTATCGCTCCCAAGTTATGTTACTGAAGGGAAAATAGGCAATCCATTAAGATTGGCAAAGATTAGGAATCATTATTTGTTGAAACAAATTACAATAAGAATGGAGTTCAGAGATTAATGGATAGGAGTTGAATGCTATTTAGGTAAGTATCTTTTAGTGATAGAGTAATTGTTATGAAGATAGTTATTGTTGAGATATTATAAATGTGGTTAATAGTTATCGTCTTCAAGTAAGATTAGAAGATAATTAAAAAAATCAATCTTTGGTAGAAATGATATAAATGAATCTATAAGGTTCTATTAGGATGTGGTATTAGCGGTTATATAAATGAATCTATAAGGTTCTATTAAGATGTGCTATGAGATGATTCAAGGTGAGTCTAGAGTAGGTGATAGAATTGCTATAGGAGAAGCCATACTTAATTTTATAGTAGCTTATGGCCTTGCAATGGCGAACATATGCTTGATGAAATTATAGAACTCTTAATCACTGAGGAAGTGGAGCTACTAAAGCCCTAAAGTTTTCTTAACTTAGGAGGAAAGAAAAATATATTTTTGTAAAGATTATAAGGTGATTCCAATAGAATTTGATCTCACAATTTAGAGTAGTAGTTATAGATATTTATGTTAACAATGTAGAGAACAATAATCAAAATATATAATTGCTCTAGAATAAGATAGTTAAAATTGAAAGGTGAAAATTTGCTAATATTTCAAAATATGTTTCTAATAATTTCAAATTGCAATTCTTTGTTCGAGCCAAACTGAATGTAAGATAAAATGGAAGTTTTACAAGAGTCCGAAATATATCACATAACTAGATTTAGTTGTGGATTGAGAATGTTCAAAAGGTTATTGAGAAACTAATGCGCTGTTAGATTGTGAAAAAAGTTGAGTACACATAATACTTATAATGATTATAAGAAAGTTAAAAATTTTGCTGTGAGTGTAGTATTTAAAGAAAAAATTATAACTCTGGAGAATTTATACAATATACTTGGTACTAAGGAAGGATAAAATAAAATACTTAGAATAACTAAGATTGGAGATAAGAGAGCTCGTGGCTCAAATTAAATGCATTAGAAGGAAAGATGATATGATCTAAGTTAAATTTGAATACATCAAGAAAACAGTGCAATGCTACTTTGAGAAATTATTAAATGTGATGGATGAAATTATTTTGTAAGATCATAATAAATGAAATAATAAGGTATATTATAGATTACAACATCAACAACATGAAGCCTTTATCCCACTACGAAGGAAAGATGATATGATCTAAGTTAAATTTGAATACATCAAGAAAACAGTGCAATGCTACTTTGAGAAATTATTAAATGTGATGGATGAAATTATTTTGTAAGATCATAATAAATGAAATAATAAGGTATATTATAGATTACAACATCAACAACATGAAGCCTTTATCCCACTACGTGGGGTCGGCTACATGAATCCTTTTTCTCCATTGTGTCCTATTAAAGGTCAAATTCTCGTTTAAATCTAATAAAGAAAGGTCATTCCTAATATTTTTTAACCAAGTCTTTTTAGGTCTGTGATACGTCTTAGGTTTCACAAATTAGGGTTTGCCCTAATTTCCCTTCAAAAGAGTGAAATTTCTCCACCAAAACCAAATGAGAAAACAATCACAAAAGGGTAGAGAAGAAAAATGAGAACCTTTGCATTAGCAAGCCAAGAGAAAACTCCCGCCACACCCGCCCCTCTTCGTGCCCGTCTCTCTCCCCGTTGACCTCCATAATTTAAGTTTACCTTCAACTCCCTCTCTAGTTTTATCAACAAGAAGAATATCATCAGCAAAAAGCATACACCAAGGTACATCCTCTTGCAAATGTCTAGTGAGAACATCCATGACTAAAGCAAAAAGATATGGGCTTAAGGCTGATCCTTGATGTAACCCAACCGAAATAGGGAAATACTTGATCAAACCACCTTGTGTTTGAACACAAGTAATAGCTCCTACATACATATCTTTAATGATTTGAATATAAGCATTATTAACTCCTTTCTTTTCAAGGTATATTATAGATTGATCCAAAAAATTGGACTGAACATAATTGTGAAGAAGATGAATGATAATATAGTTTTAGCATCAGTATTTGGGATTTATGGGAGATATTGTGGCTGTTTGTGTAAAAACCTTTTTTGTAAATTTTGAAGCTTAAAAGTTGCCACATTGCTGGAGAAGTATCATTTTCAAAAAAAAAAAAAAAAGTTGACAAGCATCATTTTGGTACTAATATTTAGAATAGGGACGTTGTTCAAGATTTTCTTAACTATAAACAAATCAAACTAATGAGATATAATGAAGCTATAAGGAGCACTACTCATTCGAATGGACCATTTTCACTCCTGATGTGGTGCCTTCCCAGCTAGGTCAAAGCCAATATTGATGGAGCCCTGCTTCCTTCCTACAAAGCTGGCCTTGGTGTAGTCATCCATGATGCAAATGCCAATCTTATTATTTGCTGCTGGAAGCCAATGGGAGTATTGGAATAATTCAGCTGTTGAAATGCAAGCAATCAGCCTCCAAACTACATTTCAGCCATGGATGTATGAAACCAGGGTTCTGATCATAGAAGGAGATAATTGTAATGTTATGAAGCATTTGCAGCATAGCTTTGACAAAGCAATTTGGCAAGAAAGAACACTTCAAGCTCCTGAGCTCGGTTTGCTGCTCAGCTTCCACCAAGTTCATTCCAACATACACACCTCGTCACTGCAACAGAGTTGCTGATTTTTGTGCACAGTTTGCATTGAACCATGATTTTTTATGGAACAATAGTGTAGTGTCAATCTTCCTTCTTCTTTTTTGGTTTTGTTGAAGGAAGATGGTGATAGTATTTCTCACTTATAGTTGTATTTTTTGCATCTTTTGAATAGTAATGCATATGCACTCTTCAAGAATGTGCATGGTTTTGTTGATTTTTCCTAGACACATACGTTTAAAATGTTTGCTTATGACTTATTCTAATATTGTATATATTTAGTGTTTGCTGCCACCATAGATTAGATCTCTTTTTTAATGAAGTTCTTTGAAGTGCATGCTGTGGGGGTTTGGAGGGGTAAACTTTGATATAGCTATTTACATCTGAAGATTGGGATGCTTTGCAAATGGATATTATATGGTTATATATCCTGTGTTTGATTTTGAATAACCATAAATGGTTGGGATTTTGTTGAATCTTCACAGGACTTATATAGTCAAAATGTCAGCTTATGAATTTTCTTAACAATCTTAATTTATTTTTTATGACATAAATAATATTTTAAATTTGGTTCGGAGGTCGAAGTTTGCTGGAAAATATGAATGATTTTAGTTCAAATCGAAGTCAATGAGCTCAAGTTGGCATAGATTGAACTTGAATTAAGCTAGATTGAGATCATGTTGCAAATTTATATACATGTATGTATGAATGTATATACATGTATGTATGAATGAATATACTTTTATATTTTTTTATTTATATATATGAATCTATATGGTATGAAAATGTCTTACAAGATAAAAAATTACTTGAGATAAAGAAGATTTAGTTTGGAAATGATATTGGATTGAGCTCGACCACAACTTGACTTGGTTGTGCGAATGTGCGCTAGGTTGGATGGAATGACTTTGAATCGATATTTAGTTTGGTTAGATTAGCTTCAGATTAGATCATTATCCGTCTTATTCACAGTGGATCTTGTATTTTTTCAAAAAATAAATTGAAGTGCTAGAAAGCTTATTGATACTTGAGTATGATATGAGATTTTCATGAGTTATATAGTTTTGCATTTCCTTCAACACTGCATGCTTATTTTGAATGTTTGATATGATATAAATCTACATTATTCACTTGTTTGGTTTTTTTTTTAATGTAGTTTTTCATTTGTTTCTTTCTATATGGCTATTAGATGGCGCTGTTATCTTGAACTAATTTAATTTTTCCATACTACAGTGAGCAGAAAAATTTTGGTCAGGTTAGATATTGCCTTTCAAAGGCAATAGCAGCAGACCCAAAGGATATTGGTCTCAGATTTAATCGTGCATTGCTTTATTTCGAGCTTGGTGAGTATCAGAAGGCAGCTGACTCATGTAATCAGATTGTAAGTCTTTATCCTGCTAATGTTGAAGCACGCAAGATGGCATCTAAGGTAATTATTTTTGGATGACATGCATTATATCTTCTTTAAACAAATTTTTTAGATTAAAAAGTGTTTGTTTTTTTATAAAATCTATTTATTTATAATTGAATCATTGTTCTTTCTAAGGTTGCTTTAAATAGGTTAGATTACTGAGGTTCTACGGGAAAAAAAGGTGTTTTGAAGTGGAAAAAATTAAATACCATTGAGGTTTATGAGAATTATAATGAAGCTGAAAGTAATGCAAAGAGGATATTAAGCAAAGTATAACTAAAAATTCATCTTTAATTAGCATGCTCCCTATTTCTCAAGGTAGAGGTTATAAGTTATAGTTTGGGCTGATGACATGGAAAAATAATTTATGGATCAAGAAACTTGATCAATATTGATTCTGGTTGGTTGGAAGGTTGTTAGCCTTTCGGAAAATTCGGTTGATCCCTCTAGCTTTAATTCCTTGCTAATTAGGAGGTTATTTGACACCTGGACAACAATTGTTTGCTTTGTTCCCACCCTTGAGATCTCCTGAATTCGACTGCAATCACTGGTCCAGAATCAGAACCACCTGCCACCCTTATCGAGAGATTCAAAAGGCCCCCTATTTAGAGGTTAAAAAATCATGCCTCCAACTATCTGCTCTCTCCACATCTGTGCCTTGGTCGAACCCTACAAGGAACTAGGAAGAAGGGTTATCGATCACTTTGAAGAATAATGGGAAATGCTCCTGCAAGGCTACTTATGAGAATTGTTAACAACAAGAACTCTCCTTTATTCTAGTGCCTGAAGTGAGCTAGAAATTTTGTCTTCAAACAATGGATTGCAAGAACATAAAGAAAAGTAGACTAGCTACTTCTCCCTCATGTTTTGTTGCCTAGATTCTCCTTTGGCTGCTATCCCCTGTGCCCGACTCTTACTAGAAATGTTTTCTACCTCGTTGCAACCACCTAGAAGCCTCTTGCCTCTAGATTTCTGGTGCAGCTATTCCTTGATGATTGTTGGAGAGAGCCTCCTGAAATTTGTGGTTGATTGTGGTAGAGTTCGAGACTGCACTATAACATTTATCTCTTTTCATTTCTACAAGAATTGTAATCTTCTCTCAAATTAGGAAATATCATAACTCTTTTTCAAAAAATTGATGAAATTTGCTAGAGGGTTGACCTTAAATAGAACACATGCCCACCAAACAATATTATAAAATTCTAAAAATACCCTACAACAACAACATCAAACCTTTTTACACTAAATAGGGCCAGCTACATGAATTCTTTTTCTCCATTGTGTCCTATTAAGAGTCACATGCCCATTTAATTCTAATAGAAAAACTAATTCTAATACTTTCTAAACAAGTTTTTTTAGGTTTACCTTTACCTTTCTTAATATAGGCCAAATTTAACACATCTACTCTTCTACCTAGGTCATCAAAAGGACAATATTTTATGTGACCAAACCATCTAAGGTGACTCTCTAATCTTATCTGCCACTAGTGCTACTCCAACTTTTTCATGTATATACTCATTTCACATTTTGTCTTTAAGTGTAAAGTTACTCATCCGGCTGAGCATCCTCATCTTGCAACACTTAATTTAATATTTTAATGGAAAACATTCCGCTCCATAAAACATTGCAGATCTCACTACGATCTTATAGAAATTTCTCTTAAGTTTGAGGGGTATTTTTCTATTACATAACAAGTCCGATGCATTCTTCTACTTCAACCATCTCACTTAAATCTGACTAATAATATCTCCATCTATTTACAATCCCTTTGAACAATAGACCTGAAATATAAAAAAATGTGTACTCTTTTTATGATTTGATTGCCCAAAGTCACAATCCCTCACTAAATCTTTTATTACTAAAATTACACTCCATTTATTTGGTTTTAGACCCGCTTAAATAAAAATCTTTAGACTCTAAAATTGACCTTCATAATTCAATTTTTCCTTCAACTCCCTTTGTAGTATCATTAGCAAAGAGGATAAACCAAGGTATGTTCTATTGCGAATGTATAGTAAGAACATCATGATTTTAGTAAAAAGATATGTGCTTAAAGCTGATCCTTGATGTAATCCAATTGAAATAGGAAAATACTTAGTCAAACAACCTTGTGTTTTAACATAAATAATATCTCCTGTTAAAATATCCTTGAGACTTGAGTATAAGTATTATTAACTCTTAATGGCAAAATAATAACGAAAATAATAATGCTAATAAATCAATTGCATCGAAATAGAGAAAAGAAGAAGAAAACTTACAATTTGTTTGAAATTTTGTAAATGAAAGTTTTTTTCCTTTTCTCTTTATCTTTTAAATAGCATATAAAAAAAGTGGGGAGAAAAGGGAGGAAAATTATTTCAATTTTCAAACTAGTTTTTAATTTAAAATAATTAATTAACAAAAAAATTTACATAGACGTTTGAAATAAGCCCCTCATGTCTCATGCTCATTTCGCTCATAAGTAACTCCCACGATCGAGCCCTCTCACAAAAACGAATTGAACTAAATGACCCTGGGGTATGTGATAGCCTCGTGGACGAAATATACAGGGACTTGGGCCCTCCACTCTAGCTCGATTTTGAAGAAAGCGAAACAACCACCTCTCTCTGGCTCCCTTCTTCGTTCAACCCATTACATGTGAAGCCTGATGAATCTAGCCCCCACACGTGAACAACCATCATCCACAGTTCCACCTCATCTTTCCTCCGTCTGTCCATCTGATTCACGCATGTTCTACTGTGACCTCATTCGACCTGCGCCAAAGCCCACACCTTTGCCTCTCATGACCATACCCTAGCCAACGCCCGCAACTCCCATGATTCTTGTGATCCAACTTGAGCCGCTTGTCCCATGATTCCTCCTGCACATGCGACACCTAACTCCATCTGCACACACGATCTCCCATCTCCGGCTTGTCTTATAGTCCTCTCCTACACCCGCACCAACCTATCCCGCGATCTGCACCCTGCTTCGACTTTTCCTGCTTCCGTTTGCACGAGCCCAAACCCGTGACTCCAACCTATCCCGTGACTCCGACGCCAATGCTCAGTTGATCTTCTACAACTTCGACAACACATAGTAATCAATGAAATCTCTCCTCAATTACATAAAATTAATTATAACAAGATTACATGCACATACGAAGACATGAAGAACTATGTCCGTTGTATTTTTGATCCGGCTAGGTGCATGGTTTAAATTTGCTCAATTAGGTATTGAGGCTTTTTTCTTTCATGATGGAGGCATAAGCCTCAAGGCGTTTTGAGGAGTAAACATCAAAATTCAAAAATTATGTAAAATGAAAATAAAAGTTAGAAGTTATTTTTAATATAATACCAAATAATATGTTAAAGAATGACAGATTAACTTCCTATTGAATTATAAAGTAATAAATTGATATACATATGAAACCAAAAATTCCAGAAGACGCAAAATGACAAGTGATAAATTGCATGAAATAGAATTGAAATCTAAATATTATAAAGAGCAAAACAACATGAAATATAGAAATTACGTAAAAGTATCTTATAACATCAAGTTCAATTCCAAATTCCTTCTTTCTCAATTTCCCACTCATCCACATTTAATTCCTAAGAAAGCTGACATAATTGGCAACAACTCATAAATCTTCTACATTGTCATCATATGAGTTGGTTTTTATTTGAGACATCATCATAACAAATTGATCTCTCCCCTACCCCATCATGTGTAGTTCAATGCCTGTCAATCTATTTCTTCTTCTTTTATTTTAATCATCTTTCTCTTTCGTAAATATTTATCATTAACATAAAGATAATAATAGAGAGAATCGTCTTATATGGTTTGGTCACATAAAATGACGACCTTCCGATGACCCGGTTAGGAAAATATTAGAATGAGTTGACCTTTAGTTTAGTTAATTAACATTTAGTTAAATAAATTTAATAACTTTAATTAACACTTAGTTCAGTAAATTTAATAACTTTTGCACTTAGTACAAATAAGATTTCATGAAACTAACTTTGTCATTTTACGAAGGAATGATAAAATTGAGTAACTTTAGCAAATAATTATGCCAAAAATAGTAAACTTACATTTTAAAAATTTTTGGTTAATAAGTGGCAGTATAAGTGCTACTGCACATCTAGCCAAGAATGCTGCATTTCATGCCAGAATGAAGCATATCAAACTTCAGTATCATTTCATCAGGTTACTTTTGAAAGATGGTCAATTATATTTAGAGAAGATACACACGATCGAGAATCCTGTAGAAATGCTGACGAAGATGGTGAAAGTTGATAAACTGAACTTATATGTAGCTTCAGTTGGTATTTATGGAGGATGAAAGCAGGGGAGAGCCACACTATATGTACTATGATTGATGGTGCAGATCAAAAGAAGGATTGATTGCAATCAGTTCCTAAGTGGAAGATTATTATACGGGGAATTTCATTGTGTTGATCAATCGAGTTGTTCTGTTGCCTCGGACCACAAGTTTGTTGTGCTTCCTGGGAGGTGCGAGGCGTTTACCTCCTGCTTGAAAATATTTTTCGTACAACGCCTCAGTGCTACGTACTCGAGCGCCCTGGCGCTGAAATTATATCTACGGGCACGTGGCAATGGCAACGAGGCAACAAGTGTATGTTGAGTAAATAAGGTCAAATACAAAAAAAAACTCTACTTTCATTTTCTTTTCTTTCTATTTTTTTTCTTTTTTCTTTCTATTTGTAGGGAATAATAGCAGAGGAAGAGAGAAAGAGTGAGAGAAAAAGAGAAAGACACAAAGATAGTAAGAGAGAGAATGAGAGATAGGGAGAGAAAAACAAAAAAAGGGAAAGAGAGAGACGAGACAATAAAAGAGAATGGGAGAATGAGAAAAAAAGAGGCAGAGAAAGAAATGGAGAAAAAGAGAGATGAAAAGTGAGAGAGAGAGGTGAAAGTGAGATATAGAGGGAAAGAGGGAGACAGATAGATATAGAGAGGGAGAGAAAGAAACAAAGAAAAAGAGAGAAAAAGAGAAAAAAGGTGGAGACCAATTA